AGAAATTTGAGTACCATAATTGAATAGGAATTAATTAGCCGACATTTACATAGCATGCAATGAATTTTTCATGCATTGCATAGCATTTACTACATTCAAGAAAATATAGTGCATAAATTCAAGAAGTAGGGGTATTCCAACATCTCACATAGAGAAGATAGATGTGCAGACATTTCCAAATTTGAGAAAAAGCTTGTCAGGTAGGTTTTTAATCCTTGAAATAGGATGTCTCATGGTATCAGGGTTGATTTGTAAGACCTTTGGGCATAATCTCTTGAAATTCCTTCAAACACAATTTTTAACTCCTTTGGACTTGATTGTCAAAGAGCAATTTATTTTCTGAAGTTGTGATGCCTCTGTTCAGATGAGCAATCTATTTTTCAAAGTTGTGATGCCTCTGTTTAGAGGAGCAATTTACTTTCCAAAAGTTATTGAGCCTCTGATTAGAGGAGCTTTTTATTTTCAAAAGTCATTGAGCCTCTGATTAGAGGAGCTTTTTATTTTTAAAAGTCGTTGAGCCTCTGTTTAGGGGAACTTTATTTATCTTTCCAAAGTTGTTGAGCCTCTGTTTAGAGGAGCTTTATTTATTTTTCTGAAATTGTTGAACCTCTATTTAGAGGAGTTATTTATTTTTCCAAAGTCATTGAGTCTCTGCTTAGAGGAGCCTTCGTTTATTCTTCCAAAGTTGTTGAGTATCTATCATTAAGCCTCTACTTAGAGGAGCTTTGATCAAAATTTTTTAAAAAAAATGTCAAGTTGAGTCTTGAATGGGTGTCTACGTCTTTACACAATTCCTGTTTCACAGAAAATATACAAAGAGGGACAGTTGTAGACACCCAATTTGGTCCAGGCCCAGATCAATTGGGCTTGGTCCAAATGGGTAAGCCCATTTCAGTTTATTTTATTTTATTTTTTATTCTGTATTTTGCATTTTTTATTTTTATTTTTTTTGTATTATATTTATTTATTATTCATTTATTTATTATTATTTATTAATATATATATATTTTTATTACTTATCTGTTTATATATATATTATTATATATCTATTATTATTATTGTTTATCTATTAATTAATATATTATCTTTATTTATTTATTTATTTATTTTTTTCTTCCTTCCTTTTCTGCTTACCGATTGAAATTGGGATTAGGATAAAAACTAGAGTTCTAAAGTGAATTTGGGATTCAATCAGAGTCCAGATTGGATTCAAGGATTGAATCTCAATCCAAGAGGGAATTGGGATTGATCAGAAACTCTTTTGATCAATCCCTATAAATAGGTGCTGGAATAGAATAGAAAGGACACATAGAGAAGAAACAGAAGCTAAAAAAGGGTTTTGGTGCATTAGAACAGCTTTAGGAATCAGTGGGAAGTTTTTTGAATTTTAGGTGATTTTTTTCTAGAAATTTATGGAAAATTTTCAGATTTTGATTGAATTTTTTGGCCAAATTTGAATTTTTCGGCTAGCTACCTAGTTTTCGGTGACTATTTCCAGAAACCAACCAACTTTTTGATGAACTTTCGACGAAAAACCTAAATTTCGATGATATTTTTCAGAATCCGATGGGATTCAACCAGAGTTCTTTGTTGGTTTGGAGAGAGGGATGAGAAAAGAAAATGAAGAAAGAGAGAGAATAGGAGAGATCTGCTGAAAACATAGGGGATAGCCTTTTATACTCATTGAAAACGACATCATTTTGGTGTTACTGTTCCCAGAGGATCTGCGCATTTTAAAATCAGGTGACCCAACCCAAACGCTGACCCTTGTGTGACCTGAGTGCTATCCGACCCCTAGAGCCGAGTCGAGCCAATGCCCTGAGCCGCATCTTCGAGCCGCCCTTTCTTCCTTAAGCCGAGTTGAGCCAAGCCACTAAGCCGAGTCGTTTCCAATTTTTTTTTTCATTTATTTATTTATTTTATTATTATTATTATTATTATTATTATTATTTGTTGATTAGATTAGAATTATTTAGTATTTCTTATTTTATTTTATTTTATCTTTATTTTTATTATTTTCTTTAAATAAAATTCAAAAAAATATTTTTGGGGAAAAGTTGAAAGTATCAATTTTCCTTGAAAATAAGTTTTTTCAAAAAAAATATTTTTGAGGAAAAGTTGAAAGTATCAAATTTTTCTTGAAAATAAGCTTTCTAAAAAATATTTTTGGAGAAAAGTTGAAAGTATCAATTTTTCTTAAAAGTAAGTTTTCAAAAACAAAGGTTTTTTATTGAGAAAAAGTTGAAAGTATCAATTTTTCTCGAAATTAAAGTTTCTAAAAAATATTTTATGAAAAAGTTGAAAGTATCAATTTTTTTTGTACAAAAGCAATGAATTTTTTAAGAGAAAAGAGTTTATATCTAAAGCAATCATTTTTTTCCTTTTTATTTTCTTGAATTTTCTTTAATATTAAATAATCCAACGATGGAGTCTCTGTAAGTGAAACAGTAGTTTTCTTGCATACTCTTGATGTAAGGAAATTTTTTCAATTTTTTGCTAAAAGTATTAGAGTCAATTGAGAATAATTTTTAATAATTAATTACTTGATAAATTTTTAAGGTTTATTGGATAACACAAAATTAAGCTGGTACCATTTTTCTATGGGTGTTGTGAGGGTGCTATAACCTTTCTCACAGGTAATCGGACTCTCGAACCCTATTCTGGTTAGTAGACCCAAACCTATTCTTTTAAGGACCCTTAAGTTTAGGTGTTCCTTGAAAGGATAGATTCTTTAGGTGGCCAATCGCATTTAGATAAAAAAAGGTTAGTGGCGACTCTTTTAAGTCATTGTCTAGCGATAGATCTTCGGATCTAGAAGTTATAACAATCATATTCTATCAATAATCTTATACATTAAATATAATCTTAATCACTGTGAATCATGCCCTTGATCTGGCCCGATGAAATCTTTGCTTTTAAATTGTGTAGGAAAATGATTGTGGGATTGTTGATTGGGTGGGAGTTATGGAAAACATATGCATACGGGAAGACATGATTGTAATGCTTATTTGAAAATTTTTTTTCTTTATCAATCCTTTGTTCTGTGAATGGGGAAAAAAACTTGTTTGTAATTCATTTGATGTACATTTTTGGACTACTTGTAAATTATAATTGTACAATTATGAATAATTACCCCTTAATTTATGTTCTCTTCATGATTTGAAATATTTATGTTATTATAATTTGTATTGCGTGAATTGTACCAAGTAAAATATTGAATTAATTATTTTCAAATGAGTTTAAGTAAATATATGAAAATCATATTTGGTATATAAAATTATGATAAAATAAGATACAATGATATTATAAATAAGATTAGATTAAATAATATTATACTATTTTGTGTTTGATATACATAAATCTTATTAAATATTTAAGGTGTGTCATTAAATAATGTCATACTATTATTTGATTCTAAAACTAAATGTCATACTAAATGTTAAGTTTTTTTAATAAAATAAAATTACCAAATGTATTTTTTTTCCCTTTTTAGTACAAGAGACCGAAGCCTAAGGGCTTTAGAAAAAGATAAATTGCAAATTTTAAGAATTGAACTCTAATTTGGCATGAATCCATCAAATGACAAGTTAGGTAAACTATTACCTATCTATTTACCAATTCTATTATGATAAACCAGTTGAATTAAACTTCAACTTCGGATTTCTTTCTTTGGAGTGCAGCAAGTGCTATATAACTCAGCAATTAGCCAAGTGAAACAAGTTTTGATAGTGCCAATGTGATTCTTAAGTCTAAAAACTAGTTTTCAAAGAGTGTTTTATGTCCTATATCAACATGTATCACGCCCCAGATCTGACCCCGCGGAATCTTAGCTTTTAAATTGCGTAGGAAAATGACTGGAATTTTTGTCGAGTGGGAGTTGTGGAAAACATAAGCATGCGGTAAGACATGATTGTAATGTTTATTTGATTTTTTTTTCCTTTATACATTTGTTCTTTGAATGGAAGAAGGTAGTGGAACGAATTGGGAAAAAAAAAACTTGTTTGTAATTCATTCAATGTACATTTTTGGACTACTTATAAATTATAAATTATCAATTGTTACTCTTAATTTATGTTCTCTTCATGATTTGAAATATTTATGTTATTACAATTTGTATAGTGTGAATTGTGCTAATTAAAATATTGAATTAATTATTTTGAAATGAGTTTAAGTAAATAGATGAAGTTTTATTGACATTAATTCAGGAGTGAGTTCCTCGAGGAACCTATGCAGAAACTTGTTTTTGAGTAATTTATGAAGGAGTTTCCTTTTGGTGTGTTCAAAGTCATAATCTCTAGTCATAAAAAAGTTTGAAGAAGATGGCATCATGTCTATGGAAATCAAAATGGCAGACGCAAAAGGACTTAACTTTTGGAATCCCACTCTAGTCCGAAGAAAGAAAATATCCAGAGCAGAGGGTAAACGTGTGGAAGAAGGTCCTATTACTGTATAATTTGATAATCCAATATTGAAGTTGATACTTGAGGCCAATTGATGCGTTGCACTTATATCTTATGTATTTATATAAAGCTTACCTTGAGCGCATGCAGTTGCAGCATCAAATTTCAAACAGAAATTAATGTCTAGGTGTAAGTTGGGCTGGCTTGACTGATTTATCACGCAAGCTGGTGCGTTCATACTCATTATCTCGAGTCAATAATAATATTGTAAAAAAGTTACATGTCTGTGGAAGCGAAATAAATGTAGCAGACTTCTACTAAAATGAAAACAATAAATATGACAGACACGAAAGGACTTAATAATTTGTCTTTGGATGTCCTTAAAATCTGAAAAGGAAGACTTTTGAATCCCATTGTAAATACTAAGAAGAAAGAAAACATCCCGGAGCAGAGGACAAACGTGTGAAGCGAGGTCGTGTTACTGTATACTTTGAGGCTTGAGGCCAATTGATGCATTGCACGTATATCTTATGTTTTTATATAAACCTTAGCTTGAGTGCATGCGTCCAGTAGCAGCATCAGATTTCAAAACAGAAATCAATGGCTATGTGTAAGTTGTTCTTGTTATTATTGTTGTTGGTCCAATTCCATGAGCACGAAGCTTGCTATGAAGAGGAGAAGAGGAGTCTATTGAAAATCAAGGCATACTTCCAATCAAATGGGTATGCAGACTATTTTGTTCTACGTTCATGGGGTGAAGATGATCCAGACTGTTGCCGCTGGGAGAGTGTCAAGTGCGCCAACACCACGGGTCATGTCATCGAACTTTCTCTCGGCAATGTGGGCGAAAGTGTTTATGGAGACAACTTACCATCTATGCTTAACCTATCTATATTCCAACCATTTAAGGAGTTAAGGATTCTCAAATTAAGTGGGAATTGGATTAATCTGATTCAGAAGGAAGGTACGCTGCTAAATGCTTTATAACATTTATCCTGCTGAATGAATAAATGTACCTTAATTAATAAATTGCTATAATTTCAAGTATTTTTGAAATTTATTTGACTAATTAATTTGATAATTGTAATTATACATATATATATGATTACAGGTTCAAATGGTTTGTTGAGACTACAAAAGCTGGAGACTTTGGATCTTTCTGGCAACTACTTTTCAAATAACTCTTTACAGTCCTTAAGTGCGCTCACATCTCTTAAAAATTTGATTCTAAGTGACACTCACATGCAAGGATCCTTTCCTTTTCAAGGTACTTCTAGTATTTGCTATTAACATCATTTAAGTATTAGATAGTATTATTTAGTTTTGATCTTTAGTGTAGTTAAATTAAAATTTTGTTAATAATTTATAACAGAGTTACTAAATAATATTAAATAATAATTTTTTATATGTATTAAAAAAAACAGTTATATTTGAATAATCAACAAAATTTAACATATATGATATATTAAAAGTATTTTTAAGCCATATATTTAGTATATTTCTTGCATATATTAACTTTTTTCATACAAACACCTACACACCCACATATACTACATGCATGTTTAATGGATAAAACTTACAAGAAGTTTTATAAGTAGAGTTTGAGAAATTTTTTATTAGAAATAAGTAAATAAAAACTTTAATAAAAAATCTGAACCAATAAATTAATAAAGTTTAATGTAAATATTAATAATATATAAAAAATTATTAAAAATATTATTTATAATTTAAATTTGATTAATATTTATTTAATGGTAAAAATTTTATCAATATATTTACTAAAAAAATTTATTTAATAAATATATCAAAATTTATTAAATTTTTTTTTAAAATTTACATGTTTGATTTATATGATTAGATCTTTCAATCTACCAGTTTTGATTTTCAATTTTAATTTTTATTTACTCATTTTTAATCATAAACTTTATGAACTTTACTTATGAAACTTCTTGTAAGTTTTTTTCCATATTTAATTATTTATTTTAAAGTGTTTGTCAAATACTTATGAAAAGAAAGTATAGTCAAATATTTAATATAATTTTCTAATTTTCTAATAATAGTTTTTTTATATTTTTATTTTAGTATTAATTAGAAAAAAAGTTCGGAGCAATATGGCAAGCAGAATACCCACATATCAAAAGTCTAAAAATAATTAAAAAAAAAAAAAAAAGATAATGTAAGCAACAAGCTTGTAATAAACTCCAATGTTTTTAAAAGCATTATTTTATTTTTATTTTTATTTTTTAAATAAAAAATTTATCAAATGCATTTATTTTTTGTTATTGTTACTGAAAGGAGAAGAAAGTCCGGTTTGAAATTTAATTCAAATGTTGTTTTAAATGTTATTCTTGTTGGTTATTAACTATCATTTTTGTGCAGAGTTATCTGTTTTGAAAAACTTGAAGTTTTTGGATTTGACATCCAACAAATTAGAAGGCCCCCCAAAAATGCAAGGTAATCTCTAAACAAGTTCAAAATTTTCATTTACCTTGGTTTTTTCTCTTCAATGCTTTATTATTTCTACCTTTTATTTTTTAATTATTCAAATAAAGTATGGTATGATGATAGTTGAGTGTTGACAATCATTCTTTACAATTT